TAGAAAGAAATGCACTCCAGATTACACTCCGAGAATTCTGACTGAGTGGCTAGGCGTGAATGATCGATTATCGATACCTCCCTCTCTTGAAGCTATGGTGAAGAATCGATTATTAGGACGTTCGTTGCGAAAACCCTGTTTATCGATCCTTTTCCACAGATTCAAATGAGAGATCAATCGATATATCGCAAAGTACGCCACGCCACTGGTGCCGAAATTCCTTGCGTTTTCGGGTTCAAACTTTGAACTTCCCAGATAATGATTCATGGTGCCACAGTAAATTTCCCGCTATTTCCTGGTAGCTGTGCAAACAGCATTTCGCATTTCATTCGAGGGGGGAAACAGGAATAGAATTAATATGAGCGGAAATTTCCCCGCTAGGACTGTCAAATAAGCAGAGTTTGTTTTTCTAGAGTTGGCAAATTTTAGCCAGTTCCCAAAAGCTCTAAACCCCGATTTCGATACACTGTAAATTTTTTTTTTTTTGTCATCTGAACTGTATGTACGATGTCCTATATTGGCCGTGCTATTCAGCATATGCAACCGTACTTTTCGGTTTGTGTATAACCGTGCGCTCAGCTCTAGGAACCGTATTCTCGGTTTATGCAACCGAGCTTTTAGACCTTTAGCTTTAGTAGCAAAAGCTTGGTTGCATGAACCGAGAGTACAGCATAGAACGAATAGAACTGCCGATAGAGAGCACCGTACTTACGACTCATACGACCGAACTTAATTCACATACCACACGCATCATTTTCACTCAGTTCTCAGTATAGTACACCAGACTATAAGGGAACTTTAAATCGTAAGAGTTTCAATTTCCGGGAAAAAATTAATTTTTGGATTTTGAAGTATCAACATTTAAACCAAGAAAACATAACCCCCCCCCCCCCCCCCNTTGAACGAGAAGAAGAAAAATGAAAGATCCAGTGGTGAGACGTGAATGATATAGATTATCGATATTTGCCCATTTGAAGCTATGGTAAAGAATCGATCATTAGAGCACCCTGTTTTTCGATCATTTCACATAGGTTTGGATGGCAGATCAGTCGATACATCGCAAAGCACGCCACGCCGCTGAGGAGATCCTGCGGGGGATGCTGGAGAGGACTGCGTGCGTTTGATGCCGGATTTTAAGAGCGATTACGCGATTACGGAGCTCGGGGCGCCTGGGAGGCAGCAAAGGCGCAGAGCACAGAGCGCTGTAGTAAAATATTGTGACAGGCAAGAGCACCTGGCGCGGAACACGAAGAGCTTTATCGCGACAGCTCGACAACACAAAATTTTACGGCGCTAACAAAGAACGTAACGGGACAGGTGGGAGGGGAGCCCGGCACTTGTTGGTTTCAGTTCCCGGAACGAGCGAGCACCGAACGGGCCAATTTCGAG